CTGTCTCTCTCTCTGTCTCTCTGTCTCTGTCTCACTCTGTCTCTCTGTCTCTGTCTTTCTGTCTCCATCTGTCTATCTGTCTCTGTGTGTGTGTGTGTGTCTTTCTGTCTCTGTATCTCTGTCTGTCTCTCTCTGTCTCTTTCTCTTTCTCCCTCCCTCCTGCCCACCCCCTTCCCTGTCTGATATTATATATTTTGTTCTTGAAAAAGGGAGAGCTGCCCAGAATCCCCATGTTGTCACCCTTGTCAATTGTCACTTTCCCATTTTCTACCTATGGTCACAATTCATGGGGGCAGTGGGACTCCCCTTGGAGGTGTCTGCTGTGCTTGTGCCACTCTCCTTAGTCTTCCCACCCAGGATTTCTAAACAAGGAGCAATCAAAAGTGAGGTGCAAATGATGTTCTCAATAAGGGAAAAGGAGAAAAGAAAAATTCACAGTAACCTGTTCTAACTTCCTGCTCTTTTGCAGAAGGATCAGGAAGAACCTGAGTTCTGCTTTCTTTGCAGTTTGGTGGGGAGTGGCCTAATTCTAATTGGCAGGACCCTCTTTCACTGCATGTCCAGCTTAAGAACTATTAAGCTCTTATTCATGGGGCAGGGAATTATTTACCTTAGGCCCGAGGTCACAAAAATATCTGCAATCAACAAAACAAAACAACAACAAAAACCTCACTTCAATTTTCTCAAATCTCCCAAGATTTAAAAAGGAACAAAAAGTTACTGGTGTGTTTGCTGACTGGAGTGATTATGCGGCTCAATCATTTTGATTTACAATTGCATCTTTGTCCTTGTAGAAATAACTCTCTGCAGCTGAACAACAGGAGATGGAAACGGATTAACCTTCCAACATGTGAATATAAGATGTGTTCTGGGGAGCAGGCCTCTATTTGAGGTTAACACAAAGTCTCCAGTTTCCATGAATACACAAAATTAAAGAGCATTCTCTTTTCCCCCTTTCCTTTTCTTTTCTTTTGATCTGCCATGAAAGAGGAATTATCAGCAGCGTCTAAGCCTCAGTTTTATTTTTCCCCTTATGCATTTTGCATCATAAAGCATTTGAATGTGTCTGACGTGTTCCAGGAGCTCTGAAGAAATCTTTGGTTGTTGTGTGCAATAGACTGCAGAGAAATGAGAAGCGAGCGGTCATTGTGGAATGTAAAGTTTATGGGCCATACTGCAAAGACAAATGGCTTTTTTACTTCCCAGAAATAAATAAGGCTGAGTTTTCCCTTTGCATCTGAAAAGGTTATTACATTGGACCAGTGATTATCAAACCTAGATGGGCACTGGAATCGCCCAGAGGGTCTGTTAAAATACTGATTGCCGGGCCCCACCTCCAGCGTTCCTTATTCAGTAGGTGTGGAATGGGACCCGGGAGTTTGCATATCTAACATGGTCCTGGGTGATGCTGATGCAACCAGCAATCACATTCTGCAAACCATCACACTCTGCTGATCTGAATGAAAATAGCAAACCATTCCTCCCTTCCCAGCTCGTGAAACAAATAGTTCCCCAGCACCAATATTTCCATCAATTCACTTCATCTTCAAACAACATCTGTCTTCAACCTTACATGGGAAATCTAGCAGGCCTGGACCACTGGGATGCTTGCTGGACCATTTTAACCTGGTTGTCTATTTCTGGTGTGGATTGTGGGACTAAATGAAGCTCAACCAAATGAGAAACATCAGTGGTTGTTTAGTCAGCACTTGCCACTGTGTGGAACAGAGATTTAAATCAGGCAAAGAAGTGGGAAAGCTTAGCAGTGAAGAAGGAGAAGGCTCAGCCCTGCCTTCGCTGGAGGACGCTGGAAAAGGAAGCTGGTAGCAGGCTGACTTGAAATAGTATCCTGCATGACTAGTTAGGAGAACATGTTTGACTTTCTTTGGTCCTAAGTTGAAAGAAAAAATTAAAGAACTTGTTAATTATTAATCAAATCAAACATTTGGGGCTAATTGCTATAAGGTTTATTTGTCTTCCTGGACTGTCACTAAAGAGACTCATCTGACTTCCTACAAGCCTGACATCCTCGGGCCAGGTCCCTGAGGGTAGTTGTCATAGGTTAGAGGTTGGTTTCCTGTTCAGGTTGTTGTAGGAGATAGACCATTACTCTTACTTAGTACACAACATGGCCATTGTACATTTGTATCTTTGGTCTTGCAGACCACACAGTAGATATTCACTTATTATAAATCCTTGATATATTCTATATTGGCTAATTTTAACTAAAAATCAACTGATTGTCACTAAAGATCTAATACCTGCAAAGTATTGTTAGGCACATAACATCTTTTATGACATAGCACCAGGGTCACTAAGACTATCATTTGAGCATCAAAGAGAAGGTCTGGAGAAGATAGTATTATAGTATTCCACCACACTTCTATGGAACAGAGATAGTATTCCACCACACTTCTATGGAACAGAGACGCATCCAACAGTCCTTTCCTTTCCCAGGTCAGGGAGTTGGTCCTATTTGAGTGAGTAGCTTGCACATTGGCATCAGGAGTTGGCTTCCACAGCTGGATCCTCCAGGTGATGTTCCTCTTCTTTCTGGTCATTACTCCTCTAAAGCCTGGTGCTTCCCTCTAATGCAGGTGGATGATCTGAAAGCCAAGTTGGCCACCCAGGAAATAGAACTGAAGCAGAAGAATGAAGCGGCTGACAAACTGATTCAGGTGGTAGGCATGGAGACTGAGAAGGTGAGCAGGGAGAAAGCCATCGCAGATGCAGAAGAGCAGAAGGTGGCACTTATCATGCTAGAGGTGAAGCAAAAGCAGAAGGACTGTGAGGAAGACCTGGCCAAAGCTGAGCCAGCACTCATGGCAGCCCAGGAAGCTCTCAACACCCTCAACAAGGTAGAAGTATGGTTTCTCAAGCCTGCCTCTCTCTTCAGGGGGGACCTAAAGACAACTCTGTGCTGCAGTATTCCCAAGAGCTACAAGGGAACAGTTGGAAGAGGTTAAGGTGCCTCCAGCTGTCATTGGTTTATCAATTAATAAACATTCATTTAAACTAACTGTGCGTGAAGACTGAGAGCTACCAAAAAATCCCCAAAATACTCACCGTAGAACTAACCAGAACATGTGTGATCATGTCATGCATGGTCCAGCCATTTCACTTCGTGGATGAGAACCAAGAGTCAGAAATGAGACTTGACTTGCCCAGAGTCACAAATGTAGTCTGATCCCAGAGATCATAATGTGGCAGCTGGGATCAGGTTGCCCCTAAGGCAGTAAAAGGCATGAGCTTTTCAAGACCCTTACTTGAAAAGATATGAAACTAAAATAAGGTACTGATTCCAAAATATGAAATAAATCTTAAAAGTCAAAGAGATAAGGGCCAGGGAGATGGCTCAGTGGAATAAGTGCTTTCCTGGCAAGCACAAGGGCCTCAGTTCAATCCCCGGTTCCAGAAAAAAAAAAAAAAAAAAAGTCAAAGAGACAATTCAACGTAAGTGTCTATCAACTTGGAAACTAAATTCAACCCATATACACAACACCTTGGTAGACTATGTGTGACTTTTGTGACCTATTCATTAGGCAGTTTTATCGTGGCTCCTTTTAACTCTAGGGAAAAGGTGCATTGCTAGCTGATTTCTTCCTTTTTTAACTTTTACAAGTAACTTTCTTTCTCATTTGGTTAAGTATGTTGCACAGGAAATGAGAAAGAAGCAAGAAGGGGCAATCAGACTCATCATTTTAAGATGGCAACAGAGACAGACTCACAAGCCACCTTTCTCTCTGAGGCTGCTCACATAGTTTGTCTGGAGATGCCCCATTAGGGTTGGAGACCTTTCCTCTGCTGATTGGTTTCTTATAATTCTCCTAAGAGTGTAGCAATTCATTTCTGCCATATAAACATTTGGATAACAAAAATCTAAGGCCTATGACAGCAGCAGTGTCTTACAAGTGGCTCCCTCTCATCTCTTGATAACACCTGCATCTCCTTTTCCCTAGAAAGCCTCACCCAGGACTGTGTACTCACTCCGGCTCTGCTATAAGAGTACAAGCCAGCTCTTCTCACACAGAGTAGATTTCTGGCATGTAAATTAGACTCCAGATCACTATATCATTCAAACTAGAGGAGAAACATATTAAACTCACTAAATCATCTCCTTAAAGCCCCACTTTCTAGATTGCATATGGGAAGGATGGCTGCTCAGTAACTTTCCTTAAATACAGAGTAGATAGGCCTTGCCAATAACATTCAGTATGAATTCTTCCCCTAACCCCCACCCACCCCCCTTTTTTTTGCTCTTTGGACTATCCTAGAAATGAAATACAGACCCTAGCACATCACATACTAGGTAGGGAAGTGCTATACCATGGAGCTGAACCTCACAGCCCTCTTTATTTTATTTTGAGAAAGGATCTCACTAAGTTGCCCAGGCTGGCCTCCAGCTTAAGATCCTCCTGTCTCAGGCTTCCTGATCTCATCCTTCCAATTGTTATCATCAATGATGGTAAAGGATTTAAAAATCAAAAGCTAGTCTCCTGAAACATTTCTTGTTCCACATAACCACCTCACACCTTACTTTGCTGTATAGAATCTGTTTGTTTGTATAGATGATTATAAACTAAGCCTATTATGAAATATTCTTGCATATGGTTATATAAAATTATGTTTGACACAGATGTAAACCCACATTAGTAATTTTTACAACAGGATGAGGAAAGACCCCTAAGAGTAAAGGTTCTCACAGCCAACAAAGACTTTCTGTGGGCCTCAACCTAAACAGAAAACACGCTGCTGGGTAGAGGGGAGTAGAAGATTGACCCAATTGTGCCACCACTTCTCATCATACAGCTTTCAATACAGCTGGGCCTGGCTTCTCCCGAACCACTTCACAGCTGCACCCATGCTGACCTTCAGGCTTTTGATTAGATGATGGCTACCCACCTCCATCACTGAGGAGTCCATCTCTTTTCATTCCATTTGAATCATACTCGTAGTTCAAATGCAAGTTTCAGTCTAGATCTTTCTCTTTGTTGATTTACAGAATAGAACAGACATGACTATTTTGTGCCTATATCTCATACCTGTTCACTCATAATTTCTTGATTTCCTGAATTGTCTCAATGGATCCTTGTAACCACGTAAGGGGAGTACATTGGTGTTGTCTCCATCTTACAGATGAGTAAACAAAGGCTGGAAACTGTAAAAATCATTACAAGAGACACACAATTATCATGTACAGTATGTACCAGTATGTGTTAGTATGTATATTATTGGCAGTATTTGGCCTCAGGTCTTTTTAAGAAATGTCATACCTGCATTTGTTGATTGATTGATTGACAGAGATAAATAGCATAGATTAATAGCTCAAGAATTGATTGGGAAGTAAGAGGTGGAGGGAGGAGAGAAAAAGTAAAAATATTAAAGATGTGTTATGTGTATGCAACCACTCCCCACGATGAATGTAAGCCTTGCATACTAAACATACATGAATGTAATCATTGCATACTAAACATACAAAGTGGTACTAATAAGATTTTTTTTAAGGTAGTGATTGGATAGGATGCTGCAAATAGACAGGACTCGAAGTATCAATGACTCTGCCCTGAAGAAAGAGAAACATACTTTTAATGATTGCCTACTACGTGCTGAGCTACACGAGAGGTGTTTTTCTCTAACCAGCTGCATAGCTTGGCATAATCCACTGGGTTCTTGATTCCTTGATTTCTTTTCCCTATGCAGAGCAGGGGAAATAAGAATTAATGGGCTCTTTATCTCATATGCCTGCCCAACTCCATCAATGCTACTTTTAAAGTAATCCAGAAATCAAATGTTTCCTTTCCCTTCTCCAGCACCACTTGGGTACAAGCCAATATCATCTTTCTACCCGGTCTCTGTGCATCTGCCTTTGCCTCAGTGCTGTCTTCATCAGCCATAGCAGCCTGAAATCCTTTTTTGTAATTTTCCTCATTATATATTGACAAATGACAGTTGTACATATTTATGCAATACAAAATGTTATGATTTTTTAATTCCATGTGGCATGATTAAATCAAGCTAATTAGCACATCCATAACCTCAAATATTTAACATTTTTGTGATGAGAAGATTTGAAATTTATTCTAATAGCAGTATTGAAATCTATGGTGCTCGCCTATTAACTGTATTCACCATGCTGTGAAATAACTCTCAACAAAATCAAATATATTCTTCCTGAAGTTTGACTCTAATCTCCCCATATGCCACCCCCATCCTCTAGAGACCACTATGCTCTCTGTTTCTGTGAATTTAATTGTATTAGATTCCACGTATAAATGAGATCATGTGGTATTTGCATTTTCATGTTTGGCATATTTCACCTAACCCAATATTCTCTAGATCTAGCCATATTTTCACAATAACAGAATTTCTTTTTAAGGCTGGATAGTAGTTAGTATGTATGTATGTATGTATGTATGCATATATGTGTGTGCAGATATATATAATACTATATTCTTTATCCACTCATATGTCCATGAACCTTTAGCTTGATTCCATATCTTAGCTATGGTGAGTAGTGTTACGCTGAACATCGGAGTACATTCTCCCATAATTTGACATACTAATTTCAAATCTTTCAGGCAAATACCCAGAAGTATGACCATTTGATCATATGATAATCTACTTTTAGTTCTTTGAGAGGCTTTGATACTCTTTTTCCTAATGTCTGTGCTGGTTTACCTCTCCACCAACAGTGTGCACATCCTCACCAAAACACTTTCATCTTTTTTTTTCAAAAGTTTTATTGATAAACATATAGCAATGAGACAGTTTCAAATCAAATCGAAAGTACAGTTTCAACAAATAATACACTGCATATATTCTTCTT